TTAGCACGGATTCAGCGCCAGGTAATGAGACTCCTGACTCGGGCTCTTGTGTCACAGCCCTGAGCCAGCACAGGAGCCGTGCCAGGGCCGTCACCTCCGCTCCCGACCCACGGGAACGTCACACATCACGTCCCTGCTCCAGCTGGTTACTCCCAGGGTGACACTTCCCTCGGTGGCACTTGGGGTCACGGGAGCTGCTGTGACAGGGACACACCATCCCACAGACAGACAGACAGAGGTTTGTCACAAGGTTCCCCCGTGTGCCCTGCTGACCCCCAGACACCCTGTGACAAGTGGAGCAGCTCCAAACAATCCCACAAGGACAATCCCACAGGGGCAATCCCATGGGACTTGTAGGACGAGGGGGGTATTTCTCCAAACAGACCACGAGTCACCATCTCCCCATTTTTAGGGTGCCCTCACAGCAGAACCTGCGCTCAGATCCAGGCTCTGACCTAGAAGAGCAAGAGGAGAGGAGGGAAGAGTTTAAGCTAAAGCAGCTTGAGGATAAACTGGAGCTGAATTCCCGAGAAACAGGTCATTCCGTTTGAGCACACGGCCCCGTTAGGGCTGGGGATTAACAGCAAAGGTCACTTTGAAAAACCAAAATCGAGAGGCCCCGAACTCAGCACATGGCTGGGAAAAGCTGAGAGCTCCGGGTGGGAAGGCTGCCTTTGAAATACAGCCTGGACCTTTCATGTGCAAGAAGACAGATCCAGCTGATACAGATTAGGGAGACACAAGCTAAATCCTCCAGGAAAAGAGAAAAGGGGGGAGTTCTCCTCCCAGCACTGCTCAGCACCCCTTCCTGCCTGGTAGAGGCCATCCCTGTGAAACAACGCTCCAACTTCTCCTCTGTTCTTCCTTACCAGGATCCTTTCACCAAGACACATCGGAGCCTGAGAGAGCTCCCACTGCTCACAGGGAAAGTGGCTGGGAAGAGCTGAATCCAGAGACACCCGCAGATCAAAGCTGGGCTGAGGCAGGAGGGGCAGGTTTGCACAGTGCCTTTGCTTTTCCAGTCCAAACCAAACCCCAGGAGAGCTCTGAGCAAAGTGTGAGGAAAACAAGGTGTGAAAAGCTGTCCCCTGGGAGGAGGGAGAGATCAGGAGATTGAGGTGACCCTGAGGAAAGCTGCTTCCAGAGCTGCTGCTCCAAGGGCTGGAGCCCATCACAGCCACAGACCCCTCGGCAGCGTTTTGGATCAGCACCTCCCTGTCACCTCTGGGATCAAAACACCATTAAATCCCAAGAATCTGTCATTCAGCTGCCCCTTGTACCCTAAAACAGCTGGATTAGGCGGATCCAGCCCGGCCAGGGTGACACACCACATTTTCCAGGTGTTTTTCAAGTCCCCGTTTGCCGTGGAGGGATTTAAAACGCCCTCCCCAGCAGCAGCCCCGATCCAGCTCATCCCAGGGGATTGCTGCTGGGCCAGGACAGGCAGCAGTGACCTTCAGCCGCCTATTTCCTCGCTTTTCAGGGGGATTTGGGCTCCGGGGCGGATTTGTATTTCTCATTTGCAAGCCCGAGCTGCAGCGCCTCATCCTCGGGGAGGCTTTGAACTGCAGATCAAGAGGAATTTCCAGCCTCTGATGTCGGTGCAGAAATGCGGCCCCACCGGTTTGGGAACGACTTCCAAGGCTGGACCTCTCCAACGCCCGCCCCCGCGCCTTTATCTTCCCCCTCTTCCCATCCAAACCCGCAGCTCCTCGCTACCCCCTCCCAAATTCCGAGCCTGTCCCCGCAGCCCGACATTCCTGCCCGCTCCCGCGGAGCTGAAGATGCCACATAAATAATTTATCCTGAGCGACAGCCATCGCAGGATTTAAGGTCACTCAGGCTTTTAAAATCCTATCAGCATGCTTCCCGAGCGCGAGCTGCCAGCTCCATTTGGAGCATCCCGCCGAGCCGGCGCATCCCTGCCTGCAGACAGACGGACACGCTCCGGCCCCGCGGGATCCAGACGCTCCCTGTGAATTATTAACGACCTGCGCGGGCTCTGACGAGGCGTTTTTACCAAAACCCCCAACTCTGGAGTTTCTCATTCCGCAGGGGTGGGTTCCACAGCCTCAGTTTCCCCACCCACAGCTTCCACAGCCTCCATTTCCACAGCCTCAGTTTCTCCATTCCCAGCTTCCAGCCCATTTCCCTATCCACAATTTCCACAGCCTGTTTCCTCATTCCCAGCTTCCAGCCTGTTTCCCTTTCCCAAGCTTCCAGAGCCTCAACTTCTCCATCCCCAGCTTCCAGCCTGTTTCCCTTTCCCAAGCTTCCAGAGCCTCAACTTCTCCATTCCCAGCTTCCAGCCTGTTTCCCTTTCCCAAGCTTCCAGAGCCTCAGCTTCTCCATTCCCAGCTTCCAGCCTGTTTCCCTATCCACAATTTCCACAGCCTGTTTCCCCATTCCCATCTTACAACCTGTTTCCCTATCCACAATTTCCACAGCCCGTTTCCCCATTCCCAGCTTCCAGCCTGTTTCCCTTTCCCAAGCTTCCAGAGCCTCAGCTTCTCCATTCCCAGCTTCCAGCCTGTTTCCCTATCCACAATTTCCACAGCCTGTTTCCCCATTCCCATCTTACAACCTGTTTCCCTATCCACAATTTCCACAGCCCGTTTCCCCATTCCCAGCTTCCAGCCTGTTTCCCTTTCCCAAGCTTCCAGAGCCTCAGTTTCTCCATTCCCAGCTTCCAGCCTGTTTCCCTATCCACAGTTTCCACAGCCTGTTTCCCCATTCCCAGCTTCCAGCCTGTTTCCCTATCCACAATTTCCACAGCCTGTTTCCCCATTCCCAGCTTCCAGCCTGTTTCCCTATCCACAACTTCCACAGTCTCTGTCTGCCCATTCCAAGCTTCCACACCCTCAGTTACCCCATCCCCAGCTTCCACAGCCTTGATTCCCCCATCCCAGGCTTTTCCCATTCCCAGCCCACAGAACCCTCAAGTCAGGCTCGTCCCTTCCTCCGAGCTCATCTCAGGTCACTTGCCAGAGGAAACCTTTAATCAGGAGCAAGGGAATCACGTCCTGAAACTCGGCTGCACCAAAGGGAAAAGCAGGAAAAGCCCGTCCCGCCAGGCCCACAGCCTTCCCTGCCTCTCCCCTTTCCCAGGAAGGGAAAGGAAGCTGGGAGGGGAGAGATGGGACATGATGGGGCCGGGCAGGAACCGCTGACTGGCAGAGTGTGATCCCGACGGGGTTATCCCGACGGAATGTGATCCCACACCGGGAGCAGGGAGTCGTGGATGTGTTTCCCTGTGGCTGCCCCATCCCTGGAAGTGTGTCCAAGGCCAGGCTGGAGCAACCTGGGATAGAGGAAGGTGTCCCTATCCATGGTAGGGGGTGGCACTGGATGGCTTTTAAGGTCCCTTCTAACCCAAACGATTCCATGATTCCATGACACTCTGTGCCCACGGTCATCCCTGAGCCACCATGGGCCACAGACCCCTCCCCATCCTTCTGCTGTACCCCCCCTCTCCAGAAAGGTCCCAGCCCAACCTCAGGGTGGGGGTCCAGGGAAGGGTGGAGGAGCCCAGGGGGTCATAGTGGGGGTCCCAGGGTAATTCCAGGGGTCACTGTGGGGGTCCCAAGGTGGAGGTTCAAAGCCCCTGGTCCTGCTGGTTCTGGGCACCCCCAGGGTGGGAGTCCAGGGAAGGGTGGAAAGGCCCAGGGGGTCAGTGTGGGGGTCCCAGGGGTCATAGCGGGGGTCCCAGACACCCCCAGGGTGGAAGTCCAGGGGGTCAGTGTGAGGGTGCCAGAGGAGGTCACAGTGGAGGTCCTGGGCAATCTGAGGGGGGGGATACAGGGGGGTCCTGGGGAGGGGTCCCTGAGGTGACCCAGGGGTTAGGGTGAAGGGGGCAAGGGCATCGGTTTTGGGAGTCCCAGGTGTCATAGCAGGGGTTCATGGGGGTCCTGGGGAGGGGTCCCTGAGGTGACCCAGGGGTAAGACTGGATGAGTCCAGGGCATCAGTGTGGGGGTCCCAAAGGACACTCAGGGAGGGGGCAACGTGAAGGGGTCCACGATTGAGATCTCAGCCCTTGGCCCCATCGGTTCTGGGCAGCCCCAGGGTGGGGCCAGGGAGGTCCTGGCGAGGGGCCCCTGAGGTGACCCAGGGGGTCAGTCTGGGGGTCCCACAGGGGTCACAGGGGTCAGGGTGGAGCGGAACAGGGGATCTGTGTGGCGGCTCCAGTCCCCCAGTCCCGCCTGTTCCTAGCACTCCACAGCCGGTCCGAGGACCCCTCAGCCGGCCCTAGGGATCCCTCAGCCGGCCCGGACACCCCCCGGGCCCCGCGGAGGCCTCGCCGGGCCCGGGCTCCGCACAGGCCCCACACGCCCACCGCAAGCCACCACACCCCTCACAGCGGCCCCGCGTCCCGCAGCTCCGGCTCCCCGCGGCCCCCTGAGCCCCGGCCTGGCCCCCCGCTCCCCCCAGGCCCTCCCCGCTCACCCGCGGCTCCTCCCGCCGCTCCCGTACCCGGCCCCGGCACCACCGAACGAAATGGCGGCCGCGGCCGCTCTGCGCCTGCGCGACACAACAGGATGTGGGCAGGGCACGGCAGGGCCGCGGCGCCATGATGGGGAGGTGGGGAGACCGTGTACGGAGGAGCCGCCATCTTGGGAAGGTCAAGGCTGCAGCGGGAGCGCCCAGTGCCACCGTGTGCCAGAGACCGGAGGGAGAGCGGCGCCACCGAGAAGGGATTTCCCGCTCCGTGCCAAGCAGCCGCTGCAGACTTGAGATGCGGCGACTGAGCGCGGCTACACCGCCAGCTCCACCATATTGAGAAAGGCAAACGGACCCCTGGCGGCCGCCATGTTCAGAAGGTCGATGGGCAACGCTGGGCGCCGCCATATTGGGAAGGTCATCGCGAGCTCCCGCGCTACCCCCATCTTGAGAAGGTCGAGACAGCCTTGTCAGTTCCGGAACTGTGACGTCACCCGGCAATCTGCTGTGACGTCACTCCCCAGCACGACATCAGTCCCTCGCATGACATCAGAGTCGGGCGCCGGGACAGACGTTTATTGGGGCTCTCCACCCTCCCCGGCCTGTTTTGTTGGGGTTTTGTTGTTGTCTGTTTTTTTTTTCCTTTTTTTCCTCCTTTTTCTTAAAAAATAAATGTACAATTCCGGACAGCGCTCAGTACAAAATATACACGTCTGGGGGGGCGGGGGGCACATACAAAAGTAGGGAGGCGAGGGGCCCCCCCGTAGGTCCCTGCGCCCCCCGCCAGGGAAGGGGGGCACCGGGGAGGGGGGGGTATGTGCCGGGGGTCCCCAAACCCACCCACCCCCCCGAGGGTGGGGGCAGCACCCACTGTCGGGGCTGGGCAAAGTGCGTCAGTGCTGGGGGGCACCGGGCCCCCCGGGGTGGGGGTTCCCCGGGTTGGGGGATCCTGGGGCCTGGGGGGTCCCCAGGGTTTGGGGGTCCCCGGTGGGCCTCCCCTCACTGGCTGCCGGGCTCCAGTTTGTAGGAGAGCTCGAAGAGCAGGTTCTGGTTGTCGATGACGCGCAGCTGCCGCACGTAGGCCTTGGTTTGCAGCTGGGCCGGGGACGCCTCCAGCTCCAGGCCTGGGAACGGGAATGGGAATGGGAATGGAGTGGGAACAGTGATGGAGGAGTGTGGGGATGCAGGGGTTGGAGGGATGGGGGTGAAAAGATGCAAGGTGGTAATTTGGGAACGGGGATAAAGGGATGAAGGGGATGGGGATGAAAGGAAATGGGGATGTCAGTGTGGGAATGGGGATGGAGGGACAGGGATGGAAGGATACAGGGAATTCAGGGATGGCAACATGTAAGAGAAAAAACAATACAGGGATGGTCATGTGGGAATGGGGATGGGGAGGTGGGAATGCAGGGATGGGGACGGAAGGATGGGGGAGTGGGGATGAAAAGATTCCAGGACAAGGAGGTGGGAGTGGGGATGGATGGGATGGAGAGGATGGGGATGCAGGGATAGGGATGGGGATGAAGGGATGACACAGTAACAGAAACATGGGAATGCAAATGTGGGGACAGGGATGAAGGGATAGAGGGGTGGGGATGAAGGGATGCAGACGCAGGGATTTGGGGATGCAGGGGTGAAGGGGTGCAGGACACGGATAATGGGGTGTGAGGATGCGGATGGGGGTGCAGCCACACCCCTGTCCCTCAGGAGCAGCACTGAGGGTTCAGGGCTGTGTGGGACACCCTCCTTCCCCCCCCCAACCCCTATGTGCCCCCCACTCACAGAGGGGGCGGCTCCGGTACTTCCTCACGGTTCTCACTTTCTCAGCGATGCAGTGCTGGGCAGAGAGAGACCCTCACAGTCAGCCCAGGCCCCCCCAAGGACCACTGACTCCCCCCAGGGACCACTGACCCCCCCAGGACCTCCTGCACAACCCCCCACCATCAGGGACCCCACCCCGGGGGTCCTGCTCTGCACCCTGGGGATGCTGAACCCTCACCCCCCACACACAGGCAGGGAACCCCCAGCCCCTCAGGGGGGGTCCCCCTTCCCCTGCCCTCAACCCGGGGGTCCCTCAGCTACATAACCCCCCCCAAGCACCCACCAGTTTCTCCACGTTGACCAGCCCGTCCAGGAGGGTCTTGCTGCCTTCATGCAGGAAGGTCAGATCTGGGGGTGAAGGGGGTTAGGGGGGGTCCCGTGGGGTCTCAGCAGGACCCTGACCCCCCGTCGGACACGGGGAGCCCCCCCCTCACCTTTGAGGATGAGCGGAACGAAGGGGATCAGAGGGGGCTTCATCTTGGCCAGCACCTCCCGGTAGGTCTTGTGGTTCCTGCAGGGATCCTGGGGGGACAAGGCGGGGGGGTCAGGGTTTGGGGGGGTCCCTGGGGGTTCCCTGGATCTCCCCCCCATGTTGGTGGCCATGGGCATGGGGCTGGTGGAGGAGGTGGTGGTAAGAACACCCCTGGACACCTCAGGAAAGTTCCCTGCCCACCAGCTCCCCAAATACCCTGGGGGGGGCCTGGGGACCCCCCAAACCCCATGTTTCTCACCGTGAGGTTCTCAAACTTCCGAAACAGGTTCTTGAATTTCCCTGGGAGTTTCTGGAAGACAAATTGAGGGGGGACATGAGCATCCACCGGGTCAGGGAGCACCTAGGAGATCCAGGAACACCCCAGAGGGGGTCTGGGAGAACCCACGAGGGGTTCAGGAGCACCCAGGGGCAGGCCATGAACACTCAGGAAAGGGTCTGGGAGCACCTGGGGGGGGTCCAGGAAGGCCCAGGAAAGTTTGAGAAGGTGTGGGAGCACCCAGAGGAGTCCTAGGAGCACTGGATTGGGGGTGTGAGAACTCCTGGGGGGTTCTGGGAGCACACAAGGAGGGGTCTGGGAGCACCCAGGGTGGATCTGGGAACATCCAAGGGGTTCTGGGAGCACCTGGGGATGTCTGGAAGTACTAGGGATTTTCAGTGAGCATCCAGAGGGGTTTTGGGAGCACTGGACAGGGAGGCTGAGAACTTCTGGGGGGTTCTGGGAGCACTGAGGAAAGAGTCAGGGAGCACTTGGGGGGGGTCCAGGAAGGCCTGGGAAGGTCTGGGAGCATCTGGGGGGGTCTGGGAGCACCAGGGAAGGCCTGGGAGCATCCAGCAGGGGGTCAGGGCCCCCCAGCCCCTCACCTCCCAGGTGAGGCGCAGGCGGCTGACGGCGGCGTTGTTGAGGCCAATGACGATGGCGTAGAAGGAGAGCATGTCCTGGTTCTGTTTGCAGCTGGGGGTGGGAGGGGAGAGCGTGAGGGGCGAGCTGGGCACCCCCGGGCCCCCCCACCCTGGCCCCCCACTCACATGGCAGCGATCTTGATGAGCTTCTTGAGCAGGTGGGCGCGCTTGCCCAGCCCCTCGCAGAGCAGCAGCTCCGTGCCCACCCAGTGCTGCACTTCACTGCAGCGCTGCAGCAGCAGCTCCAGGTTCGCCGTCTCCCGCCGGCCCCGCTCCCCGTGGAACACATAATCCACGAATTCCAGCTGCAGGGAGGGGTGGGGGGGGGGG